TCAACATTTGTTTCAGGACACTGCTAATTAATTGATGATCCACACCGAAATTACCTGGGGAACTTTAAAAATACCCTGGCTGAAATTCAGCAGTTCAGCTCAGGAACTTTTTTTTTTTTTGAGACAGAGTTTCACTCTTGTTGCTCAGGCTAGAGTGCAGTGGTGTGATCTCAGCTCACCGCAACCTCTGCCTCCCAGGTTCACACGATTCTCCTGCCTCAGCCTCCCGAGTAGCTGGGATGACAGGCACCCACCACCACACCCGGCTAATTTTTTTGTATTTTTAGTAGAGACGGGGTTTCTCCATGTTGGTCAGGCTGGTCTCAAACTCCCGACCTCAGGTGATCCGCCCACGTCAGCCTTCCAAAGTGCTGGGATTATAGGCATGAGCCACCGTGCCTGGTCAGGCACTTTTTTTTTTTTTTTTTTTGAGACAGAGTCTTTCTCTGTAGCCCAGGCTGGAGTGCAGTGGTACAGTTGTGGCTCACTGCAACCTCTGCCTCCCGGGATCAAGCAGTTCTCCTGCCTTAGTCTCCCAAGTAGCTGAGATTACAGGCATTCACCACCATGCCTGGCTAATTTTTGTATTTTTAGTAGAGATGGGGTTTCACCATGTTGACCAGGTTGAGTCTCAGACTCCTGACCCCAGGTGATCCGCCCACCTTGGCTTCCCAAAGTGCTGGGATTACAGGCGTGAGCCACTGCACACAGCTGGGAACTTCTAAACAGAGGAGTGACTCCCCTGAGTCGGACATGAGCCTCAGAGGTGAGGCAGCAGGTAGCGTCTTTGGTTTAAAATGTAAATGAAGATACACCAGGTGTGGTGGCTCATGCCTGTAATCTCAGCATTTGGAGAGGCTGAGGCAAAAGAATCACTTGAGGCCAGGAGTTCGAGACTAGCCTGGGCAACATAGTGAAACTCCATCTCTACAAAAAAAGAAACTAGGCATGAGCCACCGTGCCTGCCTAATTTTTATAATCCCAGCTAATTGGGAGGCCAAGGCAGGAGGATCACCTGAGGGCAGAAGCTCAAGACAAGCCTGGGCAACATAGTGAGACCCCCTTATCTACAAAAACAGTTTTAAAAACTAGCTGGATGTGGTGGCATGCACCTATAGTCCCAGCTACTTGGGAGGCTGAGGTGGGAGGATCACTGGAGCCCAGGAGTTTGAGGCTGCAGTGAGCCATGATTATACCCCCATTCTCCAGCCTGCATGACGGAGTGAGACCGTGTCCCCCAAAAAAAACAACAAAGTGGTAATACAGGCATCAGGAGACAGCAGGGAGTCTGACTCTGAGGCCAGGATGGCTTGTGTGGACTCTAGTATTCTTCTGTTGGACATCTTAAAGATCCATAGGTCCATGTGAGGATAAGTCACTGCAGAAAATGCCTCTAGCTCCAAGATAATTCCTTTAATAATAAAGATCTCACGGCTGGGTGCGGTGGCTCACGCCTGTGATCCCAGCACTTTGGAAGGTAGAGGCGGATGGATCACCTGAGGCCAGGAGTTCGAGACCAGCCTGACCAACATAGTGAAACCCTGTCTCTACTAAAAATACAAAAAATTAGCCGGGCATGGTGGCGGGTGCCTGTAATCCCAGCTACTCAGGAGGCTGAGGCAGGAGAATCGCTTGAACCCAGGAGGCTGAGGTTGCAGTGAGCTGAGATCGCACCACTGCTCTCCAGCCTGGACAATGGTGTGAGGCTCCATTAAAAAAAAAAAAAAAAAAAAGCTGTCTTAAATCTCTTTAGGGGTGATCATGTTCCACATGCCTGCAGCATCTGGGGAGAAGGCTGGGAGGCTCTCCTGCTCCAGGGCTACGGCTTTTGTGTTTCAGGTTCCCTGACACCAGCCTTAAGAAACCACAGAGAAGGATGGAAATGGTATGAAGAAGAGACTCTTCCTCTTTCCCAAGACTCCTGAAGCCATTGGTGGCTTCCTTCTTGGTGCGCCTCACTGGCATAGATGTAATTCTTCCCAATCAGCCTTGACTGGCATGCACGTTCGCCAGCCAGGAGGTTAGGTAGGCAGAGGCTACCTGCACTGACCATGCCTCTGAGGTTCCTGGCTCCTAAATGGTCCCTTCAGGAGGTATTTGTTTTTGAGACAGGGCTTTGCTCTGTCATCCAGGCTGGAGTACAGTCCTGCAATCACAGCTCACTGCAGCCTCCACCTTCTGGGCTCGTGATCCTCCCGCCTCAGCCTCCCATGTAGCTGGGACTACAGGCACACAGCATTACACCTGGCCAATTTTTGTAGAGGTGGGGTTTCACCGTATTACCCAGGCTGGTCTCAACCTCCTGGGCTCGAGATCCTCCTGCCTTGGCCTCCCAAAGTGCTCCAGTGCGCCGAGCCCAACAACATTTTTGATCATCACGTAGGGGAGTGGGGTGGAGGGTGCCACTGGCATCCAGTGAATAGAGAAAGATTCAGGGGGTGGCTGAGCATTTTATAATGCATGGGACATCCCTCAACAGCAAAGAACCATCCAGCACAAGACATCAACAGACGCAGCAGCGCTAGGCTGGTGTTGGATTGGCGGTCCTTGCGTGCCATACTTACGTTTACATCCAGTAGGCGTTGGGGAGGCTTAGATGGCTCCGAAATGGTGAGATTCCCCTCAGTGGGGGAAATCTCAGGACAGATACTGCTTGGCACCCAGCATCAGGCGAAATCCACCTGGTGACCCATCCCCGGCGTCCTCTGGCCGACCATGCGTTGCAGGGCCTCCTCTATGTCCTGGTTCCGCAGTGTGTAGGTGGCTGGTACAGCAGCGGGGTGACGACGTAGATGAGCGAGACCAGCTTGTCCTCCTCAAGGGAACGGCTGCTCAGGGGCCTGGCATACATGGCTGTGGCGCAGCCGTAGTGGAGCACGGCCACGGTGAGGTGGGATGCCACCGTGTTGAAGGCCTTGCGGCGGCCTGCGACCCTCCAAATGCCCAGGACGACCACCAGCACCCAGGTGTAGGAGAGCAGGATGAGGAGCAGGGGCAGCAGCAGCAGGCAGGGCACCAGGAGGACGCGCCCTGTGGGGCCTGGGACCCGCAGGCCAGCACCAGCATGGCCAGGAGGTCACAGAAGACGTGGTTGACCAGGCTACCACGGCAGAAGGCCAGCTGGAAGATGGCGGTGGTGAGGCCCAGGGCCAGGATACAGCCACCCGCGCAGCAGGCGGCCAGCAGGCCCCAGCAGACGTCTACGGTCATGAGCTGAGGGTAGTAGAGCGGGCAGCAGATAGCCAGGTAGCAGTCGAGGGCCATGGCAGCCAGCAGCAGGCACTCGGAGCCCCCCAGGGCCACAAAGAGGCCCATCTGGGCAGCGCAGGTGGAAGGGGCAGGAGGACACCGGCCAGCATGCGTGGCGTGAGCACCAGCGTGTAGGCTGCCTCCACTGTGGACACTGCCCCCAGGAAGAAGTACATTGGCGAGTGCAGGGCGAGGTCCACCAGGGCCGAGCCCAGGATCAGAAGGTTCCCCGCCAGGGTGGCCAGGTAGAGCGGCAAGAGGAGGGCGAAGTGCAGCATGCGGAGCAGCCCATGATCACCAGCTCCTGCAGGGCTGTCCCGTTGGACTCAGGCCAGGAGCTCGCGTTGGGGTCAGCGGCAGGGACAGGAGTGCAGGCTGGAAAGGTGTCACTGTAACACCTCCCTCCCAGACACCTGCATGCCTTTTGCTTGTCCTAGCCCCAGAACCCCATGCCCAGCCTTCCGGGGGCCCCCCCTTGCTTCTCACTCTGACCCCACATTCTCTCAAGAACCCAGAATCCTCCCCTCCATCAGTCCTGGGCATCCCTCACTTCCCACTGTCCAATGTCCCCCGGAAATTCAGATGGCCGGAGCTGCTGTGCTGTGCCCTGCATGCTTCCAGGCACCCAGGGGTCTCCTTCAGACCTGGCCACCCGCCCTCCCCGTTCTATCCCACCTCGTCCATACCTAGGGAGCCAGGCATCCTGGTTTCCAGCCTACAGTGAGGAGGAAGAGCTGCACCCGGCGGGGAAGGAGGACTGGAGGGAGTCCGGGTTCTCCCGGGTGATCTCTGCGTGGAGTGGGCTTGGTTCTGAGCGGCAGGAAGGACCAGTCCTGCAGACAGAGCCATGTGGGTGAAGCCTCAGGAGCAATGGGAGTATCCTCTGTGCACAGAGGCCGCCTGACCCCCTGCACGCCTCCCAGCCCCGTGCTGATAAAACTAGCGCATCCGTCATCTCTCCTGCGCTGGGATGGGTGCTTTATGAGTCCCTTTACTTCCCCTTTGCTGGATTCAGGACAAACCCGTTGCAATCCTGGGTTCATCATTTCTCCCTCAGTCACAGAGAAAATAACTACTAGGGAGGAGCATCCATCCTCTCCAGGGAGGCAGCCGCCTCGTGAGGAAGAGCAGCCTTCACGAGTCAGAGCACCTGCTGCCATGGTCGTGAGGAGAATTCCAGTCCTTCCTCTTAGATGCAGAGTCATATATCATCATCACTACTGAGACTGGGTCTTGCTCCGTTGCCCAGGCTGGAGGGCAGTGGTGTGATCTTGGCTCACTGCAATCTCCACCTCCTGGGTTCAAGCAATCCTCCCATCTCAGTTCCCCAAGTAGTTGGGACCACAGGTGTACACCACCACATCTGGCTAATTTTTTTTTATTTTATTTTTTGAGATAGTGTCTCACATCACTCTGTTGCCTTTTTCAGGCTTTGGAGTGCATGGTGTTTAGTCTCAGCTTACTGCTGCTTCTGCCTCCCAGGTTGGTTAGCGATTCTCCTGCCTCAGCCTCCCGAGTAGGGGGGACTACAGGCATGTGCCACCATGCCCAGCTAATTTGTTGTATTTTTAGTAGAGACGGGTTTCACTATGTTGGCCAGGCTGGTCTCAAACTCCTGACCTCAGTGATCTGCCTCAGCCTCCCCAAAGGTGCTGGGATTACAGGCATGAGCCACTATGCCTGGGCCTAGTTTTCTATTTTTTTGTTGAGACAGGGTTTTGCCATGTTACCCAGGCTGGTCTTGAACTCTTGGACTCAAGTGATCGTCTGCCTTGGCCTTCCCAAAGTGCTGGGATTACAGGGGTGACTACTGCACCCTACCTTTTTTTTTTTTTTTTTTTTTGAGACAGGGTCTCACTCTGTTAACTAGGGTTGGAGTGTGGTGGTGTGATCACAGCTCACTGCAGCCTCAACCTCCCAGACTGGAGGCAGTCCTCCTCCCTCAGCCCCAAGTAACTGAGACCATGGGTGGCATGCCACCACACCTGGCTATTTTTTTTTTAAATATTTGTAGAAAAGGTCTCCTATTATTGCCCAGGCTGGTCTCAAGTGATCCTTGTGGCCTCAGCCTCCCAAAGTGCTGGGATTACAGGTGAGCCACCACACCCACCCATATGTTTAAAAATTTTTAAAAACTTACATTTTTTAAAATTTCAAGACTTTAATTTTTTAATTTAAAAAATTTAAGCATTTTTAAAATTTAAAGAAACTAAAAAATTTTAAATTTTAAAAATCTTAAAAATTTTTAATTTAGAAAAGCTTTAAATTTTTTTAAGTTAAAAAAAAAGTTTTTTATAGAGATGGGGTCTAGCTGTGGTCACCCAGGCTGGTCTCAAGCTGTTGGGCTTCAAGTGGAAACTCCTGCCTCAGCCTCTTAAGTAGCTGGGGACTACAGGTGTGTGCCACAATGCTCAGTTAATTTTATTTATTTTATTTGTGTAGAGATGGGAGTCTTGCTATGGTGCCCAGGCTGGTCTCGAACTCCTGGGCTCAAGTGAGCCTTAGCCTCCCCAAATGCTGGGATTACAGGCGTGAGCCACCACACCGAGCCCAGAACCATATTTCCACCCCTCCTAAACACTTCCACCAACTCCTTCCAATTCAACCTGTCCAAGTCTCAATGTGTTATTTCTAACCCAAGCTTCCCCTATCTTTCTGGGAATGGAGCTGGCCAGTGCCAAAATCAGGAGATTCATTCCAGATTAATTCTCTCTCCTGCACACCTCGAATGCAACTGGGCCCCACAGGGACGTACCGTCCAACCTTGAAGGTTCCTTCTCTTTCCCCCTAAGTACTGTTTTCCCTTTCTCCTTTCTGCAGAAAGAGTCTCGTTATGTCACCGCAGGCTGGAGTGCAGTGGCGAGATCTCCGGCTCACTGCATACTCGTCCGCTCCCTGGTTCAATGCAATTTCCCCCCTTTCTGAGTAGCAGGGATTACAGACGTGTGCCACCACACCTGGCTAATTTTGTAGTGTTTAGTATAGGAAATAGAGCCGCCTTGTTGGCCCGGGCTGGTCTCGAACTCCCTGACCTCAAGTGATCCACCGCGCCTTGGCCTCCCAAAGTGAACCACCGGGCCTGGCCATGTCTTTCTCTTTCCTAACAGATCCTCCTTGATCTTCCAGTCGCAGCCAACTTCTGAATCACTTTTCCATGCCACCAATTGGAACGGCCCTTTGGATCCACAGGTATCAATTCTTTGCTTAACAATCCCTCTCGACCATCAGGGTCGAGTCCACACTCTTTAGCATGGCATGCGTGGTTTTTTTTTTTTTTTTTTTGAGACAGAATTTCGCTCTTGTGGCCCAGGCTGGAGTGCAGTGGTGCAATTTCAGCTCACTGCAACCTCCGCCTCCTGGGTTCAAGCGATTCTTCTGCCTTAGTCTCCCAAATAGTTGGGATTACGGGTGCCCGCCACCATGCTTGGCTAATTTTTGTATTTTTAGTAGAGATGGGGTTTCGCCATATTGGGCAGGCTGGTCTTGAACTCCTGACCTCAGGTGATCTACCCACCTTGGCCGCCCAAAGGCACTTGGGGTCATTCACAAGGTCATGCCCCGCATCATTTTTTTGTTCCCTTCCCTTGTGCAACACGTACCCAGGTTGGAGTGAGGGACTCACATCCTGAATACACCGTGATTTTGCTCAAGCTGTTCTCATTTCCTGAATTTACCTACCTGGAAAAGTTCTAGTCGTCCTCCAAGGCTGCATGCATATGCCACATCCTGGGTGACAACCCTTGTTCCCCAGGCAGGCTCGGTGCCACCCTCTAATCCCACCGTCATTTAGGCAACTCCACTAAACTCCGTTTCCTGCAGTCAAAGATTTGAATTGTGTTTATCTGTGTTGTTTGCTGAATTATCGTAAGTGAAGGAATGGCCAGGCGCGGTGGCTCACGCCTGTAATCCCAGCACTTTGGGAGACCGAGGTGGGCAGATCACAAGGTCAGGAGTTGGAGACCAGCCTGGTTAACATGGTGAAACCCCGTCTATACTAAAAATACAAAAATTAGCTGGGCATGGTGGCAGGCACCTGTAATCCCAGCTACTCAGGAGGCTGAGGCAGGAGAATCACTTGAACCTGGGAGGCAGAGGTTGCAGTGAGCCGATATTGCGCCACTGTGCTCCAGCCTGGGTGACAGAGTGAGACTCCGTCTCACAATAAATAAGTGAAGGAATTAGTTATGCTATCCTTATTTCTCCCTAATGTGTGCCTCCTCTCAATGTCCCCCTGACTTGGGGGTCTGTCCCTGGAACCTCAGAGAGCCAGAGGCTCCAGCCTTGTGCTGCAGTCAATTGCTCCAAATTCTGTTGGATCCTCCCCTAAAAATGCCCCTTGGCATTTGCCATCAGTTACCATCAATCTCAGATGAGTTACCTGCAATAAATCAGCTTCATGGTCAATACTGCCTCAAATTACTAGAATCACGTCCATCTGCACACCCAGCCAAAGGTCAACCACCCAGTCTTCCTCTGGACTCACTCAACTGAGGCACATCCTTCTCCTCCTCTTCTGTTTCTTCATATATCCCAATCCTTGAGACTTTATATTCCTTTAAAGATGCCTTAAAGAATTAAAGGTAGATCTACCATTCGATCCAGCAGTCGTACTCCTGAGTATCTACCCAGAGGAAAAGACATCATTATATGAAAAAGACACGCATATTTATAGCAGCACAATTTGCAATTGCAAAAATATGGAACCAGCCCAAATTCCCATCAATCAACGAGTAAAGAAAATGTGTGTGTGTGTATACATATACATACACATACATATGCATATATACATATATGCATATATACATACACACACATACATATACATATACATATATATATCACAGAATACTACTTAGCCATAAAAAGGAAAGAAATAATGGCATTTGCAGCAACCTGGATGGAGTTGGAGACCATTCTTCTAAGTGAAGTAACTCAGGAATGGAAAACCAAACATTGTATGTTCTCACTTATAAGTGGGAGCTAAGCTATGTGGATGCAAAGGCGTAAGAATGATACAATGGGCTGGGCATTGTGGCTCACGCCTGTAATCCCAGCTCTTTGGTAGGCTGAGGTGGGCGGATCAAAACGTCAAGAGATCGAGACCATCCTGGCCAACATGGTGAAACCTTGTCTCTACTAAAAATACAAAAATTAGCTGGGCATGGTGGCAGGCGCCTATAGTCCCAGCTACTCGAGAGGTTGAGGCAGGAGAATTGCTTGAACCCAGGAGGCAGAGGTTGTGGTGAACAGAGATCACGCCACTGCACTGCAGCCTGGCAACAGAGCAAGCAAGACTTCGTCTCAAAGGGGAAAAAAGAAAGTCATTTGAGTGGGGCTTTTCCAGGCAGTTGCCTTATAGGTGAAGTACTGACAATTCTCTGAAGATAGGGCTTTTTGGCGAGTTTCAAACCCATTTTCTCTCAAATGGTTGCTAATTTTTTTTTTTTTGAGACGGCGTCTCGCTCTGTTGCCCAGGCTGGAGTGCAGTGGCGTGGTGTGATCTCGCGCTCACTGCCAAAGCCTCCGCCTCCCGGGGCTTCCACCAGGCTTCTCCTGCCCTCAGCCTGCCCAAGTGCTGGGACCTAAAAGGGCCCCGCCACCTCGCCGGCTAAGTTTTTATATTTTTGAGTAGAGGATGGGGTTTCACCCGTGTTAGCCACCAGAAGAATTGGTCTACCACATCCTCGCTGGACCTCATCGATGCGAGGCAGCTCAGCCGCCGCCCCAAAGGCTGGACTCGCTACA